GTTCGATGCTCTGCAAGGAACCGTCAAACCTATCCTTGCAGAGGGGTCAACCCAGAGGCCGATACTTGAAGAAGAGGAAGCCAGAGTGCCAGAGTCTGCCACAGTAGGAAGGGTATATGAGTCTGCCATAGAGGGAAGGGTACATGATATCTTGGAATCAATGAGCAAAATTCCTACGCGGCAAGTATGCACAGAGCCTGTTACTACTGTGGAGGAGATTCTGCTGTGGATGTACTCTATAGTGGACACAGAGCCCCCGTATGATCCAGAGCTCACAGGGATCCCTTCTGCCACCGCCAAGTTCTAGTTCTCTAAGCTTACAAGGCCTTGTGAGCAAGTCTTCTCAGAGCACATGATCACTTCACTCGTGAAAATTTCTCCAAGGACTTTGCTAAAGAAGAAGGTGCTCTATGCTCAGTACGTTGTGAGGAGGGAAGATGGCAACCTTTATACATTCACAGATGCTGACCTCCACAACCTTTGTGTGTTTGATGTTATCTACCTGCACAAAATTCTCAACATGTACATGGAGAGGAGGTCAAGATACTCAATATCGCTTAGAAGGCTCGTCGAGGTCATGCACGCAGAAGTAAGATATTACAGCCAGAAGGACTACGAGCTAGCGATAAGGTTAGTCCAAAGAGATCTAAAGATCTCTCCTCCAAACAAGAGGCCTGGTTGGATACTTAGGTATCATCCRAACTCCATCATTCACAACCCCGTTTTTGGGTTTGTGTTCTTGGATAAGGATGAAATTCTAAGGTTCTATGATACAACAGAATCACACAAGTACTCCACAGAGACCCTGGAATGGATTTTCAGAAGAGCGCTGACAAAGGTGGACAAAGGGCATCTTACGATGGGTGACATGTCTGGCATTTTGGAGGCGATCAAGATGCAAATCAACTTCAGAGAATGGATTCTCAATGTCTACAGAACCATCAAGGCTGACATGTTATATGCAGTAAACGACTTTCCAGAATCTGTTGTATGATAAATCTTTTGTACTAGTATTTGGCCTATGCAACAAAAATTTTGTAATTCTTTTAATTCTAGTAATTCTTTTCAGAGGATGAACTTTTATCTCCTCTTGTAATTCTTTCAATTAAGTTATTTCTTGCATTAAATTTCCAATTTTTATTTTTTCATACTTAGGGGGAGATTGTTAGCTCTCATATTCTGTTAATGTAAAAGTATGAAAAAATATTACTGCATGTGTTGACAGAAGAGGTTCTACCACAGAAGACAATAGAGGACCAAAAACAGAAAATGTTCAACGTTCAAGTCAAAAGTGACAGAACCTCTGTTGTCTCTCAAAGAGGTTCTGGAAGTTGATCCTCTTTCATCAAGAGCTTACAAGTCACATCCAGCAGAGCCTCTGCGATGGCTCACAGAAGGTCTGCGAGTTAATCTTCTGTGAAGAACTTCTTTGCTGTTTTACTTAGGTTAGTTAGCTGCATGTGCTTCTCACATGACTATGTTTGTAATCGACTTTATTTGGACGGCCTGGATCGTTTCATGCGTCTAGGTCATGTCAGAAAAGCCGTTAAGAACTAGTATAAATAGCAGCTTAGGCCTTTGTATT